CCAAGGCAAAAAGGTCCTAGGCGAGTGCAGCCCAAAGACTTGTGAGTAAAAATATTGATGGAATCAGTGTTCCCTCATCACAAGGGTCGTCTTATGGAGTCAAGCCTGGAGGTGGAACAAACTGGCGAGTCTGAACACACCATTTCCTACATGAAACATGGTGTTGGCAGCATCATGCTGAGGGGATGCTATTCATCAGCAGGAGCAAGGAGGCTGGGCAAAGTTGATGACATGGGATGATGGAGATCTTAGACTGGGGTGGAGGTTCACGTTCCAGCAAGAATACGTCCCTAAACATACCAGGAGAACAATCATTAGAACAACCACTCTCTATCCAATCTGGCTCATATGGAGCTATTTTCTATGGAAGAAATGGCAAATGCTGCCATCTCTACATGTGTAAAGCTGGTAGAGACATATCTCAAAGTACTTGAAGCCTTAATTGTAGTAAAAGATTTTTAACAATGGCTAAGCATAAACAAATTAATACACACCACCCATCTCAGATGTTAGTTTGGAAGAAATCTGAATCTAAATTGAAAACACACACCCATCAAATAGCATACACCGAGTCTTTTGCATAATCTATTTGCAGACCAGGATGGGACATGTGGCCAGAAAAGATGAGTCAGCTGAATTCTTTTGGAATCTACTGGGTTCCTACAGGTTGTGTCATGGTAATACAGCCAATAGACTTATAACGGGCACATTTAATATTGATATGCTGTTTTATTCAAGCCTATGAAACATTCACAAAAGCAATTCATGACCAATTTGGCTCAGGTATGGGTCATTTGTCTTTTGAATTTCATTGGAATTATTTAACCATAATCGGATTTAATGTTGTCTGATCTGTACTGTTCGGCCCACTTCCTTTTGGGCCTTTCTGTGTAGAGTTTACAAATGCTTGTTAGATCAAGTTGTGACTCTAGAATTACCCCAAGACGAAGGGTTTTCCTGGTGTGTGTCGTATTTGTTTCTGGCGACCTGTCAACGATGTAACTCAACTCTCGCTCAATCACAGTTGGGACAGGGTTGGATGTCAACCTGAAATATCAGTAAAACCTCTATCATCAACAAGGAGATTCTTTTACACCAACCATACGGTTCTGTTATGATGTGGGTCACATAGAAAATTCTGACACGAGGTAAAAACGCGAAGTATTCTTAATGAGTCATGGTTGGCATTTTGACAAATGTTTAAGATTTCAGTAAAACTGCTTTCAAGTTGCTTTAAAAATTTAGGTCTGACAGAAAAAATGCACCTAAGAAAAACTGCATTGAACAGAATTTGAAATGTGCTTTCTAAGCAAACCATTGAGACCCTGAGGCACAACCTTTTCTCAGAAAATACAGGTGAAAGCTCAATGTGTCATATCCATGTATGTCAATCAAAGGTGCTTGTATAGAAATGCCTTTTCAAGTGTTTTTAGGGACTCAACATATACACCTCTGCCAAGTCCCTGTCACTGCCTTAATACTTGTTGTCATTGACTGTGTGAAATATTGTTAAGAAACAAGTCTGTAGTGCAAACAATTCAAATCTTTTATTCATTTGAGAATACTAAAATGTCCCTTCCAGTAACTTTTTGTTTTTTACTTTCAGAAATAATTGATTGTTATAGCTTTTTTTCATGGAATTGTATGCCAAAAGACCTACCATCTCAACACAATGAAATGGACCAACGTGTGAAAATGTGTATTTTTGGTTTATGTTCCATGTTTTGTGGATCTGTTTCCAGTTAGAGTTTTTAGTTCTGTTTTCTTGTGCTTTTATTCTACTTACAAGTCCTTGGTCAGAGTTCCATCAGTTCCTCCCCATATTCTGTCTTGTTCTGGTGTCTGTCTTCCTTTTCCCGTGTTTCCTCGTGTCTCCACCACCTTCATTCTTGTCTTTCCTCTGGCTTTCCAGCTCTTCATTCTACTAATAGCTGCCCCTCTCTATGTATTACCTAATACTTCCATTCAATTTCAGATCTTTGGCGCGTGTCTACTTTACATGTAACCTCTGTTTTTTTTTTGTTTTTTTTTGTTTTTGTTGGTTTTGTTTTCAATATTTCCCATCAGGTTCCAGGTTTTTGGCTTTCTCTTGTTTCCAGTTTACTTGTAGTTTTTTTTTCTTCTTTATCAGGCCCAGCTGCTCCTTTTGTTGATTTTCCAAAACAAAAACTCATGTTATTTAGTTGTTCTTGTGTTTTTCCTCAGGCCTGTGCTTGGATCCACTCACACCCTTGGCAAGCTGTGACACCACACCTTCATTATTGCTAAATAAGCCCCAATTCATCTGTCCATCTCCAGCTCTAACCCAACATCAGGTCTCAAGTTACTTAAACTCCTCCAGCTGAGAAGGGGACTGATTTCCAACCCGGGGAGAGTCTGCCATCTTTTTTTATGGTTGAGAGCCTTGTCCTCAATCTGACTCTCACCTAGAATCTTATCAGATTCAGCTGTCAAACCGCTCCAGTGCAGTGAAAGGACGACATAAATATGCCAAAAATAATATGATATGAGATTCCCAGTGTTCGCTCCTTGCTACAGGTACTGCCCATAAATATCCCAGACAGATCTGGGTGACAGGGAAGAGGATGGGCTCGCTTTCCACGGAAATAAACCTTCAGTAGAGCACCACTCAGGGAAGGCATGCCTCAGTTTCTACCAACTGTGGGGATAAGAGGGGACAGTACATGTACAACAAGCATTTGAGACCAACTGCCATAGCCTTTCCGAAATTTCCAAAGTTTTTCTTGAGTGGAAGATTGCATGCTGTGTGTTGCAAATCTTGTATCTGCTTGTGTATAACATGACATGTGTAGCATTAATGGTGTCTAAGCAGATTATTACGTTTACTTTTGAGTCCCTTTTTCTATTTCAAAGATGGTCTTATACCCCGGAAAAATAAAAGTAGGTTTGAATGACTGTATTTGAGCTGCATATCTGCAGACGGCAGATACCGCTCCCTTTGTGATCTACAATTGGATTTTGCAATAAAACCGACACACAGGTTCCAAGAACAACACATGCTTATTGAATTAACCACCAGGTGAGTCATTTCTCAAAAATCCGAGAGCAGACAGATTAAAAAGATTATCGAACCTCATCAGACCACCAACATACTTTACTTTCTGAAGGAGCTGCTGAATTATGCAATGACTAATCAACAGAAATGAATGAAAGTTAATGAATAATCTGTTATTATCCTGTAGCCGCTGGTACTTTGAAAGCTGCTTTGAGTGTCTGCCAAATGTAAAAACTTGTGTTTCTTGACCAAGATTTATAAGGTAGCAATACATTTTCTTGATTTATTTTCTTTTCCTTTTTGTTCCTAGTGTTCCAGTTGTAAACCTTTTTGTTTTAAATGTCATGCTCGATTCCGGGTTTTGTTGGGCTTTTGTCAGTTTTATGAGCACAGAGCTCAACCCCCAAATTCTCCACCAGCACTTCTGCCATATTTTCTCCTCATGATATGATCTAGAATGTCTTCAGGTGTTGGATTTGACTCATCAGTTGTTGCTCCTCTCACCTTGTTAGTTTCCCCTGGGGTTATCCCAGACAGGGAAGTATCCACTGCCACGAGGATGTGGGAATATTAGGTTTTCCAGCTGGCATGGGGCAGATTATTGCACCTATTTCCCTGTTATTATCCATGTCTTTCAAAGCGCCAGGAGTTCCTGAATTTTCTTTTGATCTACCACACTTATGTCTATTCTTTAAAGGCATAGACAGCATCAGGCACATTTGTGCAACATAAATGTGAAACAAAATCTAATTGCAACCCTTTTAACTTGATTGCCCGTAAAAGATCTAACTCTCTTGTTTGATATCTTATCATATTCTACAACTGATTTATTTCCTCTTTTAAAATAATCATCCCATCTGTATCAAGAAAGTTTCAGCAGCAAAATAGATTTAAAAGAAAAACGTCAATACATTTAGTGTAAAAATTATTGTAGTGCTGTAAAATATTGACAGTTGGAGTTCCAGTTATGATTCATGGCTATCTCTGTTCCAGAATACACTTCCAGACATGAGTTAATGTTTTATTCAGAATGAACATCTATAGTTAATAAGAAATAGAAATGCGGCAGATGAAAAAGCACTTTTATTCCTTTGTACAATTTTCCGACTCCTTTGGATCGATTTTAGGCGGCACACACTGAGATCACTAAAAGCACTAAAGTTCTGCAAACACTGCATTTTTACCATATTTTGAAGGAAAGGTGACAGATGCTCATAGGTAAAAGACATACTTAACATGTAATTAATTAAAGTATCAGAACCGTACCACAAAAAAGCAGCCAAAAGATTATTTCTTTATGGTTACAGAATGAAATGATATCTGGTTGATACATGTTAGCAAAACACAGGTCAAAACATTGATAATGACACATAGATCACATTCCTAAGTTACTTTTCTTGTTCCACATGGCACAAGGAAATGGATTCGTGGTGCTGAGTTAAGCTCACCACAATACTGTTATTGTAATAAAACATCCTGCCAAACACAAATCCTGATGACAAACTAAGCACCAAGCTTCTCTGTAATGAACACATTTATTTTAATATCTTATCGATGTAAGGATTTTCATCAATGAGTACAAAAATAACTAAATTACACAGCATTTCAATGACAAAAGGGAGAGTTCTGTTTTGATCACTGATGCCTTTAAGTAACTTTGTTAAGGTGACATTTTGCATTCTTCATAAAAAACTGATGTACATTTCTGAGTTTTTTTTAAGGTGTGTGAGCGAGCTTTTGGCCCGAATACTGACTAGTTGTGGTCCTCTCAGCCTTGTTTTGGATCCTCTTTTTTAACAGTGCAGAGAATTAGGAAGTACACAGCGCCACCGTTTTCTTGAGGTCAGCAACTACTTTTACTGAACGCAGCAGATGCTAAAGGACAATGTTTTCTGATTGAACTGTAAAGGACCATGGACCATGACAGAAAAGCCTGTGAACTGTTTAATACTGCATTTAAACAATTTGAATATATTAATGCATTAATCATATAGACTTATAAAACTATAATTTCATCAGAAACATGCAGAACATGCAATGCAAATACGACTGCATAGCGTTTAAGAAACTAGAATGAGCAGTGGACCACCATTTAGAAAAAACTCAACAAAAATGCTTAACGAAATGTTATTTTCTTTCTTTTTTTTTTACAGTTACAGGTGACTCTAGGCACCATAAAAAGTTTTTCTGTTTTTAAACCAATTTTAAAGCTATGTAATAAAAAATGGTAGCTAAGATATTTCAGACCTTTTTCAGCACGAGTACAAAGTTTTGTGTTTTCTTTTCTTTTTGCTGCTTTTAATTCTAAATGTAGGATGAACGGGAGGTAAAAACCTTTCTTTTCAGAACGAAATAACACTGACACACACGTTTTCAAACGTTAGGCAAAAAGATAGAGCCGTTGTAGGAGTCTTTGTTCTCCTCTGCTCCGTGCTCCTTGTGATCCTCCAGAATTTTATCCAGAAGGCTTGGTGATTCTGGCTCTGCGTCTGGGTCTTCATTTAGAGACGGACCCTGTGATTCTGGGTCCAGCTGGTGGTCCGAATGCTGGGGGAGGTTCAGGATCTGTGGCTCGGAGTCCACTCCCGGGGTCTCCATCTGCGGGATCATCGTGGTCAAAGACATGGACAGGGGCATGTGGACAAGAGGGGACCCGGACAAGGTAGCAGGACCTGGGGAAAACTGGACCCCTGGATTGGGCATGGTGGATATAGTGGTCAGGGGTTGGGCCCATGGAAGGTAGGTCAGTCCCGTGTCCGGGAGCTCCATCTGGGGTAGGGACGTTGGAGTTGGGGCCATTGGTATTGTCTGAAAAGTCAAACATTACATATAAGGTACTGTATATATATTTTTTTTAAGTTCTTGGTGCAATTCAAAGTTATTTTGGCTTTTTAAACTCTTCCAAGTTCTACGAATCAAATATTTCAAGGATAAGATTGTTAAAAAAACAGGTTTGTAGGTTATTTAAGGAGTTCACCCCATATCATACCTCAAATCTATACTGTCATGTGTTATCAGGTTAGCTCTTTTAGTCACCATGGTTTTCTCCATCTTCTACTCTACTCTGTTATTCTTCAGACACTGTTGTTGGGTTAGAGTGGTGAAATGTCTTCAAGACCCAAAGGTTCTAGGGAATACCATGACCTGGCTAACTGAGAATGTTTTCCAACAAACTAAAGCAACGTTACCAAAAAGAGTCTCATGTCTCTCCATGACATTTGATGCTGATAACATCAAACAAAAAAAGTAGTTCTTTAAGTTAGTTATTCTAAAGGGGGATCTAGATGATGCTGAATCATGGAAAAATCCTGTTTATCATACATTGCTTCTGCCGTTAGGCTTTAATGTTTTTTTTTAAGGCTAAATTATTATATGCCATGTTTTATGTCAAGTTTTTTAATACATAGTTTGATTTAGCCAAACTGAAGAACAGGTAAGGACAAGATGATTTTATTTTAACATTTTGTGTTACAGCGTGATTCATGAAATCTTTGATTTAATCTATTGAGGTTTTACTTTCTGCGCTTAAATCTTAATTCAGTCAAACTGACTTTAATTAACTCCACCACATTTGAATAAAACTGAATTGACCAGACCAGGTTACCGGGGATGTGCGGTGAATAAGAGTATACACAGTAATTGAATCACAAAACATTGATTTGTCTGAATTTGTTTGGTAGTAGAAAAAAACGTGTTTTTCTTAAATGATCAAAAAACAAATAACGAGGTAATTTAAATTTTAAAATAGTAGGCAAACTGGAAATTTTTCAAACTGAAATAGAAGTCTAAGCGTCTTAAGTAAGAGCAAATATTCAGAGCTCAGACCAAAGGAATTGCAGTCTTCCACCAACCAGAGTTTTTAATATTCAGAATTTTTATCAAAAAATTCCTAAAAACCTCAGCTTTTCAGAATAGCAATGCTTACATAGTCCAAAAAATATATGATCATTTCTGCTGAATACTTATTAGCATTGACAAATGTCTCATATGTTCTGAATTTATTGAGAACTTTTAGAGAAATGTGATAATGTGTTATAACATCCTTAATAGATTCCATCACAAATTTTTTGCCCTTTTAGTTTTGTTGATACATTTTTAAGACACAAACTTAATTGATCAAATTCTAAAGATCTTTAAAGATTTCTTACTCACCCCAAAATTGGTGAGCAGTGGTGTGTGCGTATAGGTCAACATGGTGTAGCTGGGGCACAGAGTCTGCATGTAGACGTCGGCCGTGAGGGCCGGGGCGGCCTGGTAGGCCAGAGTCTGAGGACCAGAGTCCTGCTGGCTGTAGTCGGACGAGGACCAGGGCATGACCGCAGAACCGGCCACACCAGAGCCAGCCCCGGAGGGTGTCGCTTTCCAGCCTGAACAGTGTAGTCCCGCATCACCGGATGGAACACACTGCTCCGTCTGGGAACGTCCAGCAACCTCGGAGCCAAAGATTCCTGAATTTAAATGGATTGAATCGATTATGAGTCATTGAAAAGATACAGAAAAAGCACACTGTAGTGGCGATTGTTTGTCAAACCAAACATCCAATAAAAGTTCTGCAAGCCACTAAGAGGCACTGGGGTCCGGTTTCTGTACGCAGGCAAAAGAAGATTTAACATCCAAACTTGTTGATTATTCAGGAAGGTTTATTTGTTCTTTCCAGCAACTGTTACAGAGTTCAAACTTTCCTTTGTTCTCATTCTGTCAATATTACTCTGTTATTTTGCTCTGTTCTTTTGCTCTGTTCCTTTGCTCTGTTCCTTTGCTCTGTTCTCTTGCTCTGGTAAAAACCATAGGCCCCAAACCCAAATGCCTTGCTGGTCCTTTACCAGGTCCCTATACTTATAGAAAAGTGGACTGACCCACATGACTTCCTGTCTAACTCAAAGAAGGAATAAGAAAAATAATAAGACAAGAAATGAAATAGAATCAACAATTATTAACCTGCAAATAAATACAGTAAATAATACAAAAAATATACATTTAAGAATTAACTAACACAATTCAAATGAATAAAGAAATAAAGAATAAATAGCTCCAACACACACTTTACTAAGAGTTTATTTGTCTGTAGTTGCTGCTTCTGGTGTTTGACAGATGTGAGATGTGTACCTTGTGTAAATGATGGCTGGCTGCTGTGTGTGCCCACATCCTGAAAGAAAAAAGATGAAGTGAGCGAGGAAAGCAGAATAAAACTGTCATGTTGATACATAAATATGAAGTATTTACACCTATACTAATCATGTCCAGGCGTGATTTCCACCAGAGTCAGGATTATAAGTAAAAGGTGTGAATGTATGTTTGAAGCATCATTTGTTTGCCATACAACAAGCCCCTGGAACAGTTTTGCCTCCCTTGTGCAGTCTACAAACTATAATATAGTTTGAAATCAACAACATTTGGCCATGAAACTTTACAAGATAGGTTTCTTGTTACATTTAATGGCCAAAAAAATTACATGACTTGTTTGGCCCTGATACATAACTGTACAGAAAGGGAAAACAATTGTATTTCTTTTTATTCTACAATTTGTATTCTATTTATGATTGTATATATTTTAGTCACTCAAATCTCTGCGCTGTGTTGTTTCCTTGTATATTTGTTTTTTTTTGCTGTATTTTATGCACCTTTTCCTCCTTTTGAACTCTAACCGATGTGTTACCAGTGAATTTCTCCACTGTGAGATCAATAAAGCTCTTATTTTATCTTATCTTATCCCAACAGGTACGTCTGACTCTGACTGGTGTTATCAAGCCTGAACCTGCGTTTTTAGTTCTATTTCAATAGTTCAATAGTTAAATGTTAAACGGGAAATTAATACTTGGACTAAATACAAGCAATGCATTCCTAAAATAGAAAACAAACAAACTAGTTCTCACAGAGCTTCAGTTCAATAAAATAACTGGAATTGATCCGTTAAAGTCAGGACAACGTCAAGGCTGGCTGATCTGTAATTGTTTTTTTTGTGTTGCGAATGTTCTTATAATTTAGAGGAATAACTGTACTACCTTTCTTTAGGCCTTGTGTCTCATGGTTCTCTATCATATCGACCCATATCTGACATTATTTTGTTTTACTTGGTTAAAAAGTGTGTATTCAGAGTATATGAACTCATTTTCAAGTCATTTACAGCAGCACACCACATGTAACGTATCAGGATACCATTAGGGAGAAAAAACATTTAAAAAAAAAAGATAATTATACAGCATGAGGCAAGTGTAAGGTTTTTCATGAGAGGAAGATAAACAAGAAAAATTTTGAATCCTGCAACTAAGGACTGTTACAAGTCCGGGCCTGAATAAGGAACTGAACCTTTCACTCATTAATCCCTTTACTCCCAGCTGTAATCGCTCTGTCCTCTTTGCAGATGACCGATCTCACAGACGTGTGAGAATGTACACAAAGAGCACTGCTGGAAAAGGACACGTTGTTTGATTGAGTGTAGAATGTATCATTCCTCAATATATTGATTGATGATGGTGAAATTCCTTTCATTCGCATATTTGTGTACACACCTATTTATCTCTTTCCCCAATTATCTCTGATTCCTTGGCATTTGACATCAACCTCAACGAATGAGTAGCTGCTTGTTCTGACTTGCCAAGTGCGATTGTAAGCCCATTTATTTAAGGATTTCACCTTTTGGATAGTCCCGTGCTTGATGCTTTCTTGGTTATGTTGTTACTTCAAACTATGTTCAGCTATGCTTTATCACAATATGAAGATGGGGAAATTAGGCTTACAAAATTGTAATATGTCTATGCTGAATGTATCAAATTATTTCAAATTAAATGTAAGTGAGGTACATCTCAATTTATATACCTAAATTTGTATTATTCTTTATATATTTAACCAAGTTTGAATTCCTTCACTTGATATTTTTGTTTGTTTGTTTGTTTCTTATTGTGATTACAGTTTGAATCAATCAGAATAAAGTTGTATATCATGGAATGTGATGAATTGGATTTAGATTTACTTGCAAAAGAAATCAAATATTAAAACTAATCCTGAGGTCTGGGTTCTTCCCTGCAAAATGCATCACAGGGCCAAGAGGAAAGTGAGGTCTAAGAACTCGACAGTTGTGGTCTGAAGAAAATCCACTAGCAGTTTTAGGGGTCAAGATGAGGGACGACTTTGATCAAAGTACAAATAATTTGAAAATAAGCAAAAAATATATCTACAGCCTGCAGGTTTTTACCATGTTTTTTATATATATGAATTCACTTTAAAATGAGAATTATTACCAGATGACAATATTTTTGTATACATATTCAATACATTGATTAATTTATCTTAATTATTTGTCAATATGATTGTTTGAATGCTTTTAAGTAAACATTGTTTTTTTTCACATAAAGTCAATCCTCATTTCTCTCATTTTAACAAAACCTTACCCACGAACAGCCAACAATAAAATAAGCCCATCTAAACTTCAATTTTACTCCTAGGAAATGCAGAACATAACACAACAACACAGCTATGTAATGCGTGTGCAATTTAGATTAAGAATTGGTTTTAAGTGCTAACATGGTTGCACACATTTCACTTATTAAAATGCTTTTACTTTTTAAAATCTCTTTTTTATTTTATTTTTTCAGCATACATACAAGCTTTAAACTGTCCAGTACAAAAGATTAGTTCAAGACAAGATTAGAATTAGACTTTTGTCTTTTACTGTCCTATGGTAAAACCCCAGCAGCTTTATCAAATGGCCATAAACTTCACTCATTTGTTCTAATCTCTATTTTCTGTTTGCCCAACCCATTCGTCTAAAGGTATTTTCCCACATAGAGAACTTTTACATTTTGTTACTTATGTCGTCATATGATTCTCCATGTGTTTTTTCTTACATGTCAGTTGACTTGACATAGAATTATAGCACATTCTGCTAGAATTAATGGAATTCTAACACATCTCATCACATTCTGATGAGAAGAAGAAATGGTGGTTAATCCGTTCCTTCGTTGTTTTGTGTGTTAATACAGGTCAGACCTTAACGAGGCAGCTGTGGCTCAGGAGGAGAGAGCAGCTAATGATAACGACATAGATATCTGAATCAGGTGTGCTGGAGCTGGGCAACATGGAAGACGAGCAGAACTGTTGGCCTTGGGTAAGGCTCTGAACCCCAAATTACCTACTGGTGCACGCGACGGTGTGTGTGAGCGGGTGAATACAAGTCCATTTACCATAGAGAAACCATGTCCGTTTTTCATCGTCTTACTGCTATCATTACTGCCATCATTAGACTTAGACTTAGACTTGTACTTTATTGATCCCTTGGGAAGACTCCCTCAGGAAATGAAAGTTACCAGCAGCTTACAGGGCAAAAAAGTGGCACATAGAGAGCAAAATGCAAAAAAATACAAAAAATACAGATGAAGTAAATGTGAATAGCCAAAAAAATAAGAATATAGATACAATGTAAAAAATAAAAAACCCTAAATTAAGCAAAAATGAGCAAAGAATAAGAATATAAATACGCGAAAATAAAGACCCCTAAGAAAATGTAGAAAATTGGCGGATAGATTGTCCATATATATATATAGATATGGTATTGCACTATGTGGTTTGGCCTGATAAATATGGAGTTCACATTTTACAGAAAAATACAAGCATTATCACTGCTATCATTATCATTAGTATCAACATCATTGCCATTTTTCATCCAGTCTATGTGTTACTGTGTAGGCTGCCTCTCTCCGCTCCCTCTGTCCACTCTCTCTTGCCCTCTCTTTCCCTCACCCCCAATCGGCTGAGGCAGATGGCCGCCCACCCTGAGCCATGGTTCTGCTCGAGGTTTCTTCCTGTTAAAAGGAAGTTTTTCCTTGCCTGTGTCGCCTAGTGCTTGCTCATGGTGGGAATTGTTGAGCTTCTGTAATTCACTTCAGAGTAGGGTCTGACCTGCTCTGTTTGGAAAGCACTGTGAGACAACTATTGTTGTGATGTGGTGCTATATAAATAAAACAGAATTGACTTGAACAAAGGGGAAAAAAGGAGGTGATGTAAGACACGGCTGATGATAATGTCGTGGATGGGTGGCTGTAGCTCTGGGGAAGTAATGGATCCCCAACCCTCTCAGTTGGTTTTAATTAAAGCGTCTGGTAAATGCATTGATGTAAAGGTTGACATTGGTTAAACGTCATGGTTTTAGACAGTACTGATTATGAAGCTAGCTGGGGGAGAAATTTGAAATTAAATTAACAGTTATCTTGATGTATGACATAAATACCTACATTACCAATTTAATTTAATGACTTAAAGTTGTTTTCGGTACCTCTAAAGTATAGCCCTGCGAATATCAAACTAAAGTCTCCTTCAAAAGAACAACAGTGAAGCTCATTTCCTCAATACAAAATTCAACCTGACGGTTAATTACTGGCACTTTGTACTCATTTAGGTCACTAGTGAAGGAAAATAGGCGTATCGGACCAGCTTGAGTCAGTGAATGGAGCTGGGAGTTAGAAAACGAAGACGTATCAATCGAATAGTGGTGAATGTTGAATTTCATCTGATTGTTTACTTGCTGTGGTTATAGGCTTATGAAAAGTTAATTCATTTTGCCCAACATACAAATTCTACATTTCTTGGTCTCTGCGTGGGTATCTACCTCGGACACAATGTGCAGTAATGCGCCATGAGATATCGGTAACAGTTTGTGTCGGTTTTCCTGCTGCATCTCTGTTGTCTGCAGTGGGCCTCGGGGCACGCTCACAGGACATGTGGTGTCATGTGTCTGACACACTGCAGAAGAAGAGTCGGTTAATGCCACTGTTTTGAGACGTGGGGAGAGGGCTGTAGCGCTCGGTCAGTTTAGGAAAGACCGATTGCTTAATTTAAGTGTCACTTTTACATAGGATCTAATAAAGTGAGGCACTTCTGGGCAGACATTGTTGTGCAGTAAGCGACACATGATGGGGTTCAGCTACTCCCCTTCAGGGATGGTTGCTGACTTTTTGCCTGAGAAGAGTCTCTTAGTGGGAGTGGACCATGTGTGCTGATCCAAAATTTAAAAAAAAAAAACGGTAAATCAAAACGTCTCACCCATTTACTTACTGATTAAAAAATCTACAACACAATAGAAATAACAATACTGAAGGTTGCGTAAACATAACGGTTAGGTCTTGCATTTGAATTTCAAGATGAATTCACACACTCAAGTCTTTTCACGTATGTCATCTCAGCATTTCATGTGGCACCTGATGTTTTTAGTCTCTCCAGGAAATGTGTGTATTCACATTGAATATTTGGGGCAACCTTCATGTAACATGAATATCAAATTATACACAGTAAGATGTATTTTATTTAGACTTTAGCATGCATATCAATTCAGTTCTGACCCTAATCATGTAGTTTAGCCCAGACTTTTGGTGAGTTTGAGCAAAGTCAAATATCATTTGACAGTGGAACAATTAATGATCTCACACATCTGGCTCCATCTATCAACAAGGGGATTTTCAGAATTCTTTCTGAAACATTCTTTGTGTTTTGTAAACAAGATAGAATAATTATGGCTCTGCCGGCATATGTGTGAGTAGAGACCAGGGTCGTACTGGTCCTTATCTACATTTATTGATTTACACTAAACAAAATGGGAAATTTTGTGTTCAAATGAACGCAAGGTTTGTTATGATCTGGATAATAACATATACAAACATACAAACTTGGATATTTACATAGTTAAGAAGTATTTTGTCCTTTGCAGTCATGTTATGTATGTCATATATAGGTAAGCTTAATATTTATTGATTTAGAGTTGGCAGATTTAGACCTCTATTCGCCTGCTCTTACCTACGGAAAAATCTGTAGTGTCTAAAGTGTACTTCATCGTGACACAAAACTTAATACAATTACATTGTAAAAAGATTTTAAAAAAACACTAGTCATGGAGAAACATAAGCTGTGTCTCGGTTTTGAGAAAGGGGTTGAAATCTGAAAGCTAAACTACAGTGTTGAATTGTTACTGTTTAACTTCCGTATTTTGCACTATGAACACACATTTTGTGTATCTTTCTGTTGGCAAAACAAACATTAGCCACTGGATGAAAGCAGTGAGGACCAGCATTGGTCCACAGCGTAGACTGATATCCACAGCTGCCAACAGCTGGCTGGTCTACGGCCACTTTTTCTGTCTCGGATGTAGATGGGTTGGGACAAATATAGGTTTAGTTAAAGGGGAGTCAGGCGGTCAGAGTTTTTCCACCCAAGACAAAATCTTAAATGTGGAGTGGGACTTCAACAACTTAGTTATCAAGTGAAAAGGCCTCGTGTACAGCTAAAACGTCTTTAAAGAAGTTTCCAGAAGTTAATCCTGACTTATGCCATAGTCCTGCTACACTGAAAGATAGTCATAAGCACAGATATTAATCTTTAAACTAAAATGTAAAAGACAAATAGTTAAATGGGAATGAGAACAGATAAGAGAGAGAACTGACCAGAGCATGGGGATAAAAAAATACAGAAAGCTGTAAAAGTACAAATCAACGCCCCACCTGTCCCACCTTTAACAATCCTTTTAATTTAGGAAGATGGATTTGATCACATGATTTGAGATATGACAAATTTTTGGATCAGCCTATGAACTGAGACATAAACATATTATACAACTGAATATTTCTCTGACCACATCAGTTTCAAAAAAGTTTTTTTTTTCCTCTGAATCGTTCTCGCATTGCCCTTGTTAGGTATTCACGCCCCTGCAGCCAATGTGTTTTAATTGCTATTAACAATTTATGGAGACCTACCAAAGTAGGTCATAAAGTGACAGGAAAATTACATGTTGCGTTAAAATCTTATAACGAATTGTATTCAGCTCCCTTTACTCTCATAATGCCAATAATCCAGAGCAACCTGTTGCCCGTTGATGTCACTGATTAGTAGCAGACTCCAATGTGTTTACTTTAATCTTACTATGAATGCAGCTGTTCTGTGAGGGCTTCAGGATTTTCTCGAAGAATATTAGCGAACAAACAACATCAGACAGGTCAGAGATAAAGATATGGAGACGTTTAAAACGGGGGTTTTTCTATCGAAACATTCTAAACTTTAAACACTCCTACGTGGTAAATGTTGCAACTGTATCACTAAGTGTTTAAAAAGTTCACTGAGTAGGTATACGCCTTGAATAATGAAGCTGGATGAACCTCAATCGGAATTTAATAACTTTCTGGAAGACAAAATGAAACATTTTCTTCCTTTTGCTTTTTTTTTTTTTAAAACCTTTTCATACGGTGTGTTTGAAAGGAGTCAATGCAGCCATGGGTGTGTCGTGCATGTCTCTGTGTCTCTGAGATGAGTGCGATAGGCAGAAAGGGGAGGGCTCGTTGGCAAGACCGCCAAGTGATTTTGCATAGGGCTGTGTGCCCAGCCCTGGAGCCACGCTGCGAATGGCTTTAACTGTCATGGAAAAACACCTGGATTAAGAGGACAAAGCCCCCCTCTTAAGGTTCTCAGCCCATAACTCCCACCGGGGTCCTTTCTTTCACTTTACAGGGAAAATGTAAATTGATAACTAATAGCAATAATACTCTCAAAAGACCGTCCTTCATTTATTGAGCCCTCGCTAAACCACATTCATTTTTACAACCAACGGCACGCGTCTGAAGGGTTCATCTCTCTGGCAGACTGCTTCTCATCTTTGCATCGGCCTCCCTGCTGCAGAGAGAATGAAAATACTGGATCAAACGGATCTTTTCTACACTGGAAACTGGTGATTTGTTAACTGTTAAGTGGGTGGGATCAACGTGCTATCAAGACATTCAGACGCAGGAGGCAATAAAAAGTTGATTACGTCAAAGAGATGGAACAAGCAACATAAAAAATGCTGGTTCAAAACACAAAAGCTATTGTGATTTTTATCTACAGGACATAAAATCTCACAGAATATGGTTTGTTTATGTTTTCGTTCAACAGCAGAACCAGATTAGTCAATGCTCCATATTGTGAATCTTCTTTGAATTTCAACTGTTTTTTTTTTGTTTTTTTGTTATGATGAGCAGAAAAAATTCATGGGAAAGTGGCTCGATTGTAAAGGAAGGAGGACCGAAACCTGTTTTACATTGAAGTGTAACCACATCATCTTATTTAACACAATTCACAGTTTAAAATAACAAAGCGCTGTGTGATTGAGTCTTGTGTTTTCTGGCCTCCTCACCGCTGTGGAGGACGTCGACTTGTTTTGGACTTCCAGGCTCCTCTTTCTCCTCAACAGCTCTTTCACTGGGTCTCGGACTCTAACCCCTTGGTATGGCCTGGACCTTCCCAGTGACGTTGATGGTGCTGGAGAGACCAGAATTCAGAGTCAAACATACATGTGAGGGTAAATCCATTGAATGCAATGAAGTGCTCAGAGTTTTATGATCAGAGCCAACATGATATGATGCTCAATTGTAAAAGGCTTGATAACTGTTAGGCTTATAGTGATAGTATAGTATAGTGATAGTATAGTATATATATGATGTAGGGATTGTTGTCCTCTCTACTCTATTAGAAAATACATACCTTTATAGATGGATAAAATGATTTTTCTGCCATAGTGAAGGCTATTGTACCCATCAATTTTCATAAAATGGGCACATGGAATCTCTCTAGTAATAGTTTGCTTGGATCTAATTTGTCCATGCACTCCATTAGTTTCAGCTCCTATGACTAAATTCAGCTATGAAGCTGTTACTTGAATGTGTTACAAATATAATAAAGCAAGTACAGTATTTCCTTGGCCTTTGATTTCCAAATTGCTGCTTAGTAAATGTTTTGTCTCCAAAATCCCCCATAAAATTCTCATTGATACAAATTCGGGAAAAGAACTAAGTGAAGATTTGTCAGTGCATGTCCAAACAAACAGGCATTACTGCAAGTAAAAACCCAAGGGGAAATCTGACTTTCCCATTTTGAATAATCTCATGGCAATATACAAATGAAACTTCAGAGAATATCATCCGTAAGTCCAGAAACAAGACAGAAAGTAACAGAGAATGATGGGGCGAGCCCCCACCATACGGCTGAATGGTGTGATGGGAAGATAATGCCACTGAAAGGGAAAAAATTGGACCAAGAGGAGGAAATAAACCAAAATTGTTAAAGCATACAAATCCGAAGCAAAGGCAAATACTGGAATGTTAATACACTTAAAGCCAGCAATTAGCATTTCAGCATCAACATGACTTTTCCATGAAGTCAACTGGATGCTAATAATTCTTATCAGAATTGGAAAGTCCTCTACTTTATCAAGCAACAAGAAATAACAATGCACCTTTGGACATAAATGTGTGCTTTTACATTACATGAGCTTATCTAAATAATAAAGTGTCTGCTGCTAGCAAAGCTGCAGGTGGTCTAACAGGATACATGCGGGGGGGCATGGTTTATGGCAAGGCTTTGTGTTCGCAACGAACCAGACCTGGAATGACCGAGTTGCCTGCAAGCAGTATTGACGAGTCGGGCTATATTTGCAGTGATGTGATTCTTGCTCTTGCCCGGATGCATTGAGACTTCCACAGACGCAAACTCTCATAATTCTCATGTGACAGATTATGTGAGAGGAGGTCAAAAGTTTAACGGTTTACCTAACAAACCCCGCAGGTCAACAATGAGCGTCCCTCTGGCATCCCGGTATTCTAAGGGTCAAAAGGAAGGTGCAGTAGGTAAGACAGAGCATCCTCTCAGAGTTAAATACCCCTGTGTGCTCGAGAAGAACACTGCAGGGGAGTTTTTTGCTAAAGGAGTCGAAGCTTACATCCACTAGGGATTTCATATGTGTAGGAAAATGTCTTTCTAAGGTCGGTGGGGCCAATGTACAGATGAAACTGAAATTTTGCAAAGCCTCAGCCAAAACAAATAATCGCCTGTTCACACAGGCACACGGCACCGAATGAAAGCATCACATTGTGCCTGCATTGTATGTATCCCTGTGTGTGTCCGAGCACGCTCAGACTTGCATTCTGTCATCATCCAAATCACTCAGAGTTGTGCTTTTAAAATTAACCATGTTAATCTGGATGTATATATTGATTTGGTATCTTCTATAAGAATGGAACATCTTCAGTAATATTCACACAGTTATGGAGGCAAATCAGTGAGCTGACAGCGGCATGAAAGAGTTTGGTTGTTGTAGTTTCAGAAGAGAAATGTTCCACTAAGCTGAATAAGCCCTGACATTAGTTTCAGCTTGCCTGAAATTCCCTGTAACCTCAGCAAAGAAATAATCTAATTTGATTGAAGTTTGATAAAGCAGATGCAAATCATGATTTGATTTTTTCATCAGCTTACTCATGACATACAGCAACATTATGAAGGGATTTGGTTTGACTTGATGAATAAATCCATGAACATACTATCAATAAAGTATGTGTATTATATCACTGAATGCAATGATGAAAGAGCACAGTTATTTTTCCAATGTATTCATTATTTATATTATATATAGACATTTATTCATAAGGACTTGTTGTGTTACAATCATCCCAGCACTGTGCAGGTGTGTAACTGCATGGGACAGTTAAAAAACCTATGCTTGCAGTGAGATTTTTTCCAGGTTGATGCTGAATTTACAACATGCCCTGTACTTTCTTACACGATTAATTGTAATTCAATTTCCTTGAACGAGTGGAAAAGCCCCCAAAGGGACCATTTCCGTCACTTTATTATCAAACAAAGCTGTTGATGGATTGCGCAAGAAGAAAAAAACAGCGTATTATGCAACGAATTTGGGTGAATTTTAATTTGGGACCAACATGCTAACAGTCATCGTTAGCATGCAAACATACACAATTTACTTCTGCTGCTAAAATTCTGTTATAACTAAAGAATACAAATGATGAAGCCGTCGTTTCCCCTGCCTTTGCATCTATGTGTGCTCACTGGGAGGATGGGAAACTATCTAGTCACAAAAATGTGATTACATATTTGCTCAAGGAGTTTACCAATTCGTCAAAATACAAATCAATGCAAAACTTAATCTTATAAACAAAAGCAAGGTCCATTTTGACAGCCGTTGCCTTGTGTGTAAGGATAATACTTATTAATGGTTCATTCTAAGGAAATAAAGGCACAACATTCAGTTTATCCAAAAGTTAAGAATTTAAATGTTTATGATGTAATCTAAAATCTAGTTCCCTATACATAACTGTCATTTTAACGCAATGGGATTCCAACATAAACCATAAGATTGAACAATAACTATTTAAAAAAACAGGCTGTTTTTCCTACTAATGTAGCAGAAAGGAATATGAAGTTTGAATTGAATCTTGAAGCTTTCGGGCCTTTGAAGAAGTCTTGAGAGCTAGAATAAACTTGATTATGTAATAAATGTTGGACAATTGTTTATGAGAGTATCGCATTTTAAAAGACATATTTAAAGATCTGCTGTCCTCTTTTTATATGGTGCTGTAGCGGAAAACAAAGGTTGTCACACGGCCAAAAAAAACATAGACCTGGCAAAGCAATAAAGGAGAGCGCTGCAAGCAAGGTGTTGGTGCTGATCAGGATAAAGGTTTTATGGCAGCAATAGTCTGAGGAGACTAGTTGTAACTCCATCCATCCATTGTCTCTGTACCACTTATTCTGGAGGGGCTGGTGCACATCCAGCTGTCACTGGACAGGTCACCAGTCCATCACAGGGTCACACAGGGACAAACAACCACACACACACACACACACACAAACAAGGCAATTTAGAGTCTCCAAGTAACCTAATGTGCAGGTTTTTGGACTGTTGGAGGAAGTCAGAGTTTTAAGAGGGAAGACAAGTACACAGGGAGAACATCCAAACTCCAAATAGAAAATGCCCCCAAACCCCAGGGATTCAAACTAGGAAACCTCTATGAGGTGGTGCTAACTACCACCAAATCTCCCCAACAAGTGGAACCTGCAGTACTATGCTATGCTATACTAAACCCCACCATATTATACTATAGTATAGTATAGTTTCCAATAGTTTCTATTCAGATCTTCCTTGTAATCTTTATCTAGCTCTTGGATATAGAAAATATATTTATTGAGTAGGAATAAGGTCTTAGCTCTGTCACACTGGTAGCCAAGTAATCGACATTTCGTTGTCAAGATTCACCTTCACGTTTTTTGTACAATGACGATAAAGGAAGTCTAAGTCTAAGTCTAAGTCTTTATGATAATGTGTCTGTTGGTAAATGCTGCATTACGCATCTGAACTGAAGCATAGACCACGTTGTTTACTTTTATCTCTCTCTGGTGGCAACAATCACACATGAACACGCAGGGAAACTATCACCACGGCAGATGCACGAGGACTCAATCAGCACAAAAGAGGAAGCTCCACAGATGTGCAGTGTTTTCTTGCGGCATGGGGCCTGCTCCCATTTTTGCATATCAAGATTACAGCCCAATCACAATGTGAAGTCGCCTTTCAAATGAAAACCTTCCTCTTTCCACAAGTGTGGCACACAACCACCACTGTACTGGTCCTGATTCAGTTCAACAACAGGAAAGATGCAATTTATTGTTGTTAACAGCCGCGATGGGCAGGTTTTTGTTGGGAGGCTATGATCACACACACGAAAAGCACCAGACCTGAACCCGTGAGTGTATCTAACCACCCTGTGCTGACTTCCTGAGTAATATGGTAATGACAACCCATGAGTCTGAATGGGGAAGATGACCCAAGATGGCTCATGATTTCCGTCTCTAAATGTTTTTCAAATATCGTGACTACTAAATAAGCACACTAGCAATGTTGAATGCTTTATAAACTGAAAATTGGAGTGCAGGGTAACGTTTATACAGCAAATAGCAAAATGGCTTGAATAAACTATATATACAGATAGAAACACAACAAGTTCAACAATAAGTTTTACACTTCTTCTGTGGTATTCATATATATATATACTCAACAGATCCTACTATTTAAGTCATTAAAATGAAAAACCTTATATCTTTAAAACTGCAGGTAAAATACTGCTATGGTCGGATATTTCTGGTAAACTGAACACATATTATTCAGTCATTTCCTACCAATAGCTGCAGGTATAACATAATAAACAACATATTTCACAGTACAACATGAAGCCCATTTTCATGACTTTCAAAAACGCTTTGCTTCTCTGTGAACAAAGCAGATTTAATAATTCAATTGATTCATTAATTAGAAGTGGTAACGGTGTATCTGCATCAGGGTACTTACATTTCTCCCAGTGCATACTGCTTATCTGGTCGATATCAAACAGTTAAACCGATGAAAATCAAAGTGGCGGGAGGACCGACGTGCTTTATAACACCCTGTAGCTAGCCGATAGTTCCCCAGGGATTCTTAACCTCAGCTCACCCCCTCACATTTAGTTTCAGTGGTGATGCAGTTTACTTCGACTCCAGACTACAAATATGAAAACACTTTACAAGAATAAAACACACGATTAACAGCTATTCAATCCAAAAAAAAAAAGACAATAAACCGAAACAGTACATCAGTTGTGGCCGTCTGAACGTAAGTTTATAAAAATGGTATTTGTCTGTTCCAAATCTGTCATAGTTATTAAAAGCAAAGAGTGATGTTGATAACTTTTTACAAAAGTTTTCAAATATTAGTCCTATTTACAGACTACTGAAGCATACAACTAAAAATAAATTGAATGCTTCGCTTGCAGGATGCTTAAACAATGTATATAGCTGTAGGTATATTGAACAAGAGAGAAATTTATGATGAACTGGTTGGGGTTTAGTGTGGGATATGACCCCATTTTTTACGGATCACCTAAAATTACTTGAGTACACTTACTCATTTGCCTCAATGTCTCAGGTTTTTTATGGGTACAGTTCCAATGAGGAATTTCTCCTCAACTCTACTACTTACGTAGCTTCTAATGAGTAAAATAATAGGAACATATTAAGATGGTTCATGGTTTCACATGAAATTCATAGGTTGACGCAGTTTCCTGTCTCAGATAAAGAAAAAAAAAACGAGTGAGTAGCACACACGTGTATGAAACAACTCATGAAAATAACTCCTACAAAATATGCTTTTTGTTGTGATTTGAACACAGTTCAACAAAATGCCGCACTGGGACATATCGTTCCTTGTACTTTTTAATGTCCATATTTCAGGTGTCATCAGGTAATCTGACAACTCCGACACTGACATGAAAAGAAAATGACTTGCAACCGGATCTATCTGGCTTCCACATCTAGCCGTGGCACTTTAGGCAAGATGGTCTGCCAGCACAGACCTGTTTAGGCATGATACTCCTGAGTGAGCATAGCTCCAAGTGAACAGGCTGCATATCACAAGATCTTCAGAAAAACAGGCTTTAAAGACCCCATGTTAAAGCATAGAAGGGGGCAAATATTTATACAGGATAACTACTTCGGGTGTACTAGAGGCTTTATCCTGCCTTCATCAACATGTAAGGGATTATTCCATGTAACCTCCATTTCTCATCCTTATAGGAATTACCTTTTAAAGAGCTCAGATTGGTTTTATTAAGAGCAGAAAAGGAGGCATGTGTATCACGCATCTCTCTTCTATATCAATTTACTTGAATTTCTTGTTTTGGTATTGTTTTTAACATTTAAGTACAGGATTAGCAGACGACACACCAACAGCCAGAGAGTGTATTCCAGCACCTGAACGTAAGTTTGACAGGGACAAGAGGGTATATTCAGGAGAATATTAATGTATCTGTGAGAATTACGGAAAACACCAAATGTGAGGAGATGTTAGGACATGCAGGGGATATGTATACAGAGAAACCAAGAGTAAACATTGTGTTATTATCTATGCAGAGCTTGTATTCCATGGAAGGATTTAGGCTTTGTATGACAGAAAAACCAAACTAGATTAGAGGCACGTGGCTGTGACAGTGTCTTAAGTAAAAGAAAGTATAAGTAGATAGATATACACATGCATTGAATAGGTAAGTTGAAAAAAAACTTCTTCCACTGACTAAGGGTTTAATAGAAACAGGATTTAAGACAGCCAGTAACATGAAATATCATGTGTAACAATTTTCCCCCAGGGCATCTTTACAGCACACTCAGATAAAATCCTGCCCTTGATTGTTTAAAATAGCTTTTTCAACAACATTTCTCCTTCCTGCAATGTTTCTTTACTCTTTCTTTGTAATGGTATCACGTTGGAGTTGTTTCATTGCAGCATTAAAATGCAATTTAAGAGCAATCCAGTGAATACTAGTCCACTTATGCTGCAACCATCCAGAAGATTATGTCTGCTTTGTTTCAAAGACAATAATTGAGACTAATACTAGCAGCATAGATAATAGATGGATGGAGTATAACAAAAGCATAGCTTCCACATTTAACTGGGTAGATTTGTTCTGTCAAACGCCACTCGTTCACTGTTTGGCTTCCTGCCAAGAGGTTTGTTTGTCTGCGACAGTTGTGTTAATGATTCAAACTTACAGTTTCCTACCTTGAAACCAAACAAATCACGTTTTTTTTTTTGTATACCTGCTTCGTCAAGTTGAGTTTGAATGGACTTGTACCTATATAGCACTCTTCCAGTCAAATCAAATCGGCCACTCGAAGTGTTTCACACCACATGTCGTCCACCCGCTCACACACACACCTTCTCATGCACCAATAGTCCTTGCAAAGGGACTCTTCGACATGTGGCCTGGAGGAACGTGTAGTTGAACCATTGACCCCCTCCAATCAGTAAGCAACTGCTCTTTCCTCCCGAGCCACAGCCGGTGTTTAGGAATGAGTGTGCTTGTACAGTTCTAGGAAGCTACAATGGCAGAAAACCTGTGCATGGATGGTGAGAGAAAATCCAAAGAACCCAGGATCATGCAGCTCACATCGAACTGTGACTTCTGTAAGTGGAATAACTCGGGTATTCAGGTGCTTCAGATGGTTATAGAAAGAGTGTTTCTAAAAAGTAGAAATGCATTTTGATAGACTTTGGTAACTAAAAGCAACCATGGATCACTGGTGCGCATGAAAAAGACATGTAGCACATCGCATCACTCATTCTGAGAACATCACCGGATTCCCCATTGAAAATTCATCCGGTGTTTGAAACTGTTACAGACAGACGCAAATAAAAAAAATCAAACATTACAATTAGGCCGAGCGGGCTTCTGATTAAGCAGACAGATGTTGAAGAGCAGGATCATCATCAATCTATTTCTCGTCACACCTGTTTAAAGCCTATTACAGATTGAGCATGACATGATCCGGAGGCAGTTTCAGGTCAAGTCACTGACTAGTGTCAGACTCGGCAGTTTTACCTCTTAATGGTTAAAGCAAAGCAATTTTTTTATTCTCATTCAAGTCAGGAAGGGTTGATGGGTGGATATTTTTCTATATCTTGTTCTTATCTGGTTCTGATGTAAACGCAGAACTATGAATAGGGAAAGTGTTCACTAATGAAAGGGAATAGCAAAAACACAATACAATGATTTAAACACCATTATCTATTATCTATCTGCATTAATGCAACAATATTTCAAAGCTTGGGCAGAAAATGTGGACTAGCTGCTGTCACTTATGATTAGCTTGATGTTTTGATGTTCATTAATTTTCTCCAATTAATCATTGACTTTAAGAATAGTCAGTTTACACTCAGATACAATGTCATTAACCCTTTAAAGCCTGATCCAAGAATAAAACAAAACAGAAAATGACTTTTTGTGGGGTTTTAAGTCTTTATTTGGCCTTTTAACAAAATATGTAAAAAGAAAAAACAGAAATACATTTTTGATATTAATCATTTATTACTATGCGATAGGTCAAAATTATTTTTTGTGTAGTCTTCTGCCCCCTGTTATCAGGTGTATCTGATTGTGTACAATAGGATTTTGAGCAAAGTTTTTACCATTAAATTATGCAAAAGGTGTCAGACGCAAAACATTTCAGAAACAGTATGTATCAAATATGATACATTTGGCATTACAGGGTTAAACCAAACTACTTCAAGAAAATGTGACATTCTTTTTATGTGTCTGAATGTCATTAAAATCTGAAGGCTGGTTTCAGACTTGGACGGCAGTGAGTGTGAAACCGGCCTGGATTGGTGTCTTGAGCAGAGCCGGAGGGAAACACCTGCATGTACTTCAAGGTTCACTGACCAGCAAACGCACAAAAGCCACAAGCAGAAGACGTGCCTGCACGTTTCGGTGTGTGAATTAATCATTGGTTTAGCTCCGAGTATCGCTGTAACTTCTTGGCTGATTATCAAACTTGGTTCTTTTTCGGCTTTTCATTTCACAGTCGGGGGACCCTGAGTCCGGGGACTAAACCTGCACACATTAATCCATGACGTCAGTTCTGTATTTTCTGAAGAGACATAATTCACTGTAAAGCTTTGTTGAGACCCTGCTTTTTTTAAACACACATTTTCCTGGAAGAGTAGGATCAAATAAATCCTTAAAGCTTATCAAAATACTGGAGCAGGTATTATCCTGCCAGGCTGCTAAGTAAATGGAGAGCAGAAACTTAAGGCATTACACCGAGTCTGGTAGACGCTCCAAAAAAGTTGTAGGTCTTTGTAACCAAACCAATGTGCTGGCATGAATGACGCCAAGCATTGATTGGTACCGGTGAATGATGCAAAGAGGCTTTCAAAAGATGGGAAACTCAAGCATGTGATTTGGTAATTGGTGTGTTACACTGTTCTGTAAGAGCTGTCACCAAACCCTGGAAGAGAGAGATAATTGTTTGGATATGAAAGACAAGGACTGAAACATGAAAGACAGATTCTGTGTGACAGTGAAGTATGGAGCCATCTGCCCATAAAACCGTTACTTCTCTTTGTCAGCCCCGTGTGTCAGTTTAGCCCGTGGGCTGGGTCTCAGCACTGATCCTATCTCAACTGCTTTGCAGTGCGCTTTAAGAACTCGGGCTGCACTCTTAATCAACAACAGCTTTTCTCCGGACCCACACAAAGTGGCGTCAAGACTCGGCAAAAACTCGGCACAGCCAGTCTTTTGCTAGCTGGCAAAAAAAAGACTCTTTAGATGACTCTTTTTCAGATCCATGTAGATCCATAGAAAATATTTCACTACTTTTAAGGATTCCACTTACCATTATGCTGCTCAGATTTTCAAAACTCTTTCTGAATTTGTATCTTTTGTAAGATATAAATGCAGAAAGTGTGTAATACAAGGAAAAAGTAATAGTTGAATGAGTCAGTGGAAAATGATGGAGGTAGCTTATTCTTCTGTAATGTAAAGGGGTTTTAGAACAAATGAGTTTCTTTATATGCGGG